TTTATAAAATTGTTTGAAAACTGTTTGAATGTCGGTAATAATACAGTGTGCAAAATATTGTAACGGTTCATTGTTCCATATTCACTAAATATAAGACCGATCACAAAGTTATTTTCCACAAATATACTTCAAAGACATTCATTCGGTCTATTCAAGAAATCGAGAAGACAAAAGTGTAAACTAATAAGTTTTACACTGATGCGTGTTTTTCATAAAAGGCTTAAAAACTGACAAGACCGGCAAGGTACAAGTGAAGCCAATCTTTTTGTGTGTGTATTTGCGTTTATAAATACTCGCCACCGGTTGCACGTATGGTCGAGTCCTCCAGAAGAGCATTGGTCATTTTAGATTTTGGAGGATAGTGCAAGATACAGAAAGATGCCCCAGTTCCAGAAGCTTCTCCTGGTTCTTAAAAGTGTTTAAGCACTCATACACGGGACCTCGATTTAAAGTCTCATCCGAAAGACTGATTAGTAAATTTAGTTGGCCATACCGGGAATCGTACCCACAATTTCGAGTATACAAGTCTCGCGCTCTAACCGATTGAGCTATGCGGGCTGGCTGAGTGAAGCCAATGAGCCATGCCGTTTAAATACTAACGGAAACAGGTTATCTTACTGACTGCATTCCAATATATAAGTACATTTCAACTTTTGTTAAAATCAATGTATATTAAATGTATGAGTGTCAAAATCATTTTCTTTGTCTAGGAGCCAACAGTGTAAGGAAAAATAAATTATTTAAAGAATTAAAACTAGGATCTTTGTGCTTACAAAAATTGTGCTACACTGCGAGTTTAAAATGTTTATATACCAATAAATTCATAGCGTAAGTCACAGGGTTTTTTTTTCTACAATAAAAAATAGCAAAAACAAACATTTTCTTAGTTACTTTTGTTTCGAAAAATTGTCTTTGATCATATTTCTATGGCCCTGAAATTAAAAATGAAAATCATTTTAACTATATTTTTTACCGTCAGTAGTCCATCAGTGAGTGCAGCATCTTTAAACATGTTAAAAGTGGTTGTTCAGAAAAAGTACTTCATGGAAAGAAGTGTATATGGTTATTCTAACCTTATATGTTATACCAGTCGACAAATATCTAAAAAATATTAAAATATTTGAAATTAGAAAATTATCACAGTGTCCAAAATATTGTGCATTGTTTTTCTTTTCAAAGATTCTATTTTTCATGAAACATGACGTGACCAAATTTGTTATAATTAGGAAAAATCATTTCTATTTCATTAAGTAACGGAAACAAGTTATCTATCTAACACTCGAATTTGTTACTTCTCAGCGTTATTTTCCTCTGGCAAAGATCTATTTTGTAAAAAATAAGATGACATATGCTATTAACATCTAAAGTGCTAATCAAATTAAATACTTTTTTTATCAAAAACATTTTATAAATGATTATTAATAATTTGTATTTTAAAAGTATCACACTTGTGCTGCGTGGTTAACATAAAAGACGCAGCACACCGGCAAGAAACGCAAAGCCAGCAAATAATCGACCACGGTCGTTCAATGACAACGGCAACATGTTATTATACGCTGCAAAAGACAATTTATCGAGTTTTAGAGAAAAAAGTTAAGCATTTTCATGATAATTTTTATGATAGAAATTGTCACAGTGTCGTTCATCGTTTCATTTCTTTTTCACCAAAAATAACGTGAACAAGTTATTTTCCTACAACTAGAATTGTCTTCATTTATTTTCTCACAAAAATATTCAAAGGCATCCCTTCCATTTTGTATCATTCATTTTTGATGGAGAATTGATAATATTTTATTTGATTGCATTTTGTTAAAATGAGTGTTTCTTATACATAGGACGAGTCATTCCCATTGTATTAAGTAACGGCAGCAATGTATCTTAAACTCAAATTTGTAACTTTTCAGCGTTATTTTCTTCTACCAAACATCTAATTGCAAAAAAAGGAAGACAAGTGTTATTTAAAGTTTTAATAAGATATAAACGTGATATGTTTTTCTAGTCTTCAAAATCCAATGTTTATTAAAATATTTAAACACAGATTTTTGTCAGTGTCCAAAATACCGTTCATCGTTTCAATTTTTCGCCTAAAAAACGTGATCAAGTTGTTTTCTTGCAACTACATTTGTCTTCATATATTATCTCAAAAATATATCGAGTCTTCCCTTCAGTTTGATATCATTCATATTTGATTGTGGCTTGATAATAGTTTTATTTGATCGCATTTCTTATAATAAGTGTAATTTATACACACGAGGAATCATTTCAATTGCACTTAGTAACGAAAACAAGTTATATTACACTCGAATTTGTAACTTCTCGGCGTTATTCTCCGTAGACAAATATCTAATTGTAGAAAGACAAAATAGTTATGTGAAGTGTAAATCAGATATTTAAATGTTATATCGTATACAAATAAACAATAAATTGTTAATGTTTTGCATTTTATTAGGTAACGGCAACAAGTTATCTTATACTCGAATTTGTAACTTCTTAGCGTTATTTTTTGCTGTTAAAGATGTAATGCAAAATAAAAAAGACACATGTTCATTTTTAAGTACTAATAAGATATTGACGTAATATGTTTGACTAGTCTTCAATAATCCAATTTTCTTTAAAATATTTAAACAAAGGATTCTCTCAGTGTCCAAAATACGGGCCATCGTTGTCATTTTTCGCCAAAAATAACGTGACCGAGTTATTTTCTTACAACTTATTTGTCTTCGTTTATTATCTCACAAACATATATAAAGGCATCCCTACGGTTTGGTATCATTCATGTTCGATTGGGGCTTAATGATATCTTTATTTGATTGTACTTGTTATAATAAGTATGTTTTATAAACACGAGGAACCATTCTCATTGCATTAAGTAACGAAAACAAGTTATATTACACTGTCTCGAATTTATAACTTCTCGGCGTTATTTTCCGTCGTCAAAATTCTAATTGAAAAAAGACGAATGTTCATTTTAAGTTATAATAAGATACTTGTTTACGTTATTATATTATGTTTTACTAGTCTTCAAAAATCCAATGTTTATTAAACAATTTGAACATAGGATTTTGTCCAAAATACCGTTCATCGTTTTCATTTATCTCCAAAATAACGTGACCAAGTTATTTTCTTACAACTAGATTTGTGTTCATATATTATTTCACAAACATATATAAATGCATCTCTTAGGTATTATATGAGTTATTCATTTTTGATGGAGAATTGATAATTTTTATTTGATTGTATTTGTTAAATAATGTGTATAATTGATGCACACGAGGAATCATTTCCATTGCATGAAGTAACGGAAAAAAATTATTTTACACTCTAATTTGTAACTGCATAGCGTTATTTTCCGATGTCAAAGTTAGAAGACAGATGTTTATTTGAAGTGTTAATAAGATATTTTTATTTTATATCGTAAACAAATAAATAAACGGTTTATAAATGTTGTTATTGGTTTTGCATTTCATTAAGTAACGGCAACAAGTTATCTTACACTCGAATTTGTATCTTCTCAACGTTATTTTTACTGTTCAAGATCTATTTGTATAAAGCAGAAACGAATGTTTACGTGATATACTTTACTAGTCTACAAAATCTAATGTTTATTAAAATATTCTCAAATATAAATTGCAGTGTCATAAATACCTTTCATCATTTTCATTTTTCGCCAAATTAACGTGACAAAGTTATTTACATGCGACTATAGATTTTTCTTCATCTTTTATAGTATAATGAAAAACATATGTAAAAGGCAGCCCTTCGATTTTATATGTTCGATTTTACATTATTTATTTTTCGATGAATAATTGATTATATTTTATTTCATTGCATTTGTTGTAATGAGTGAAATTTATATACACAAGGAATATTTTACATTTCATTAAGAAACGGCAACAAGTTATCTTCCACTCTCATTTGTATCTTCTCAGCGTTATTTTCCGCTGCCGGATATCTTTTTGTAAACAATTGATGACGAATGTTAAATTAAATTGTTAATCAGATATTACGTGCTATGCAATACTAGTCTGCAAATATCTTATGTTTATTAAAATGTTTGAAAATAAAAATTGTTAGTGTCCAAAACACCGTTCTTCGTTTACATTTTCGCTAACAATAACGTGATCAAATTATTTTCTAGCATATAGATTTGTCCTCATTTATTATACCACAAATATTTCAAACGCACCCCTTCGATTTTATATCATATATTTTTGATGGACATATAATGATATTTTAATTTGATTACATTTGTTATAATGAATGAGATTTTTGTATGCTAGATTTTCATAAAAGGAGAAAAAACCAAATAAACACAAAGGTAAAAGTGCAGCAAAGAATCAACCACGGCTGTTTCAATGATAACGTGATAACGGCAACACGTTATAAAATATTTGTTCATCAAGTTATAACACGCTGCAAAAAGTCGATAGCTCTTGTTTTGTTTAGATGGAAAAAGAAAACCAAATTCATGTCATATATTATACTAGTCAAGAAATATCCAATGTCAATTAAAATGTATGGACATAGTAATTGTCACAGTGTCCTGGTTCCATTTCACCAATCATAACGTATGTTTTGTTTTGATTGCATTTGTTATTAACATACGTGGAATCACTTCCATTTCATTAAGTAATGGCAACAAATTATATAACACTCGTATTTTATTACATCTCATACATGTCATAGTTATTTTCCGCTGCCAAAGATCTTTTTGTAAACAATTAATGACGGATGTTTATTATAAGCTTAAGAAATATTTAAAGATATATGGTATACAGATAAACAGTTTATAAATATTTGTTGACATTCAGATTTTAAAATTGTCACACTTGGATGCGTTTTTTCCCCATAACAGACGCAAAACCTCGGCAAGAAACAAAAAGCATGAAAGGTACAAGTGCAGCAAATAATCAATCACTGCCATGAAATAAAAACGGCAACACGTTATATTTGTTCACGAAGTTATAATACCTGTAAGTTAAGAAACAAAATCGTACAATTGCGATTTATTAGCCTCCTGGATTTGCGCTCCGCACTTAGAGGATAGTGCTAGGACTTGACAGTCTGATGTCAGTACAGTTCGACTAAGTAACTCGAGGCCACGATATAGTATCTAATGTGCACCTCTTAATTATCTTCTGTGCACGACTAAGTAACTCGTGGCCACGACATTGTATCTCGTGCGCACCTCTTAATTATCTCATGGGCACGACTAAGTAACTCGTGGCCACGACATTGTATCTCGTGCGCACCTCTTAATTATCTCCTGTGCACGACTAAGTAACTCGTGGCCACGATATAATATCTCATGTGCACCTCTTAATTATCTCCTGTGCACGACTAAGTAACTCGTGGCCACGGCATTGTATCTCATGCGCACCTCTAAATTATCTCATGGACACGACTTAGTTACTAGTGGCCACGACATGGCATCTCTTGCGCACTACTTATTTAAATTGTTTCATACTCATGGAGTTCTCAGGTGAATGTAAGTCGGGACCTAAACATAACTCAAACGCTGAGCTGAAGTTCAATAATTGTATATGTATTATTTAATTGTCAACATCTTTTATTTGGTAAATGCAAATTTGAAGTTGATTGTGATATCAGATACTGTATTTTCTATTCTTAGTGGCATGAGATAGAAACTGATTTAGACCATACATTAAATTGAATTGTAATCGGGTATTACGCTAACCTGAATCTTCCTCATCTTATATATCTTTCCTCTTTTATAGAATAGCCAAAAAATCCTTTAAATTGTTTGTAGGATGATATAATAACAACATTTTTAAGCAAGTTTCATTTCAGATTTCTAGATCTTTGTCCCTATGGATACCAAACATATTATGATCGAGCAGGTAACAGTGATTTAACCTATCATCACATCTGTTCATTTAATGGCTGGATTAATGACTAGATTCATTTTATTACGACTTGAAGACCACTAATAGCCTACGTGATTGGCAGACTGCCATACTAACCCTCATTTCTATGTTTCAAAGTTTTTTTATTCCAGTTCTTCGATTGGCTTGTTACACTAGCCAATTACCTGAGGGATTTTGAGGGAAATTGTTTTATGGTTGGCAAATGTATCAGGTGTGATTTTCCATGTTTCTTGTGTTTGTTTAGAGTTGGATAAGCGCCGTAAACGTTTCTCAACAGTATTCCAGTCATGTAACGGCGAACCAGCTTGTCTTTAGATTGGACATCCACTCTTGTCGCATGTTTCAAGGCTTAGAAACGAATTTTATTATTTGTTTTCCCTTGTTTCGGAATGAAACTAACAATTCTTCAACAAAAAGTATTTTCGCATAAAATATACCCGACGATGAAAGGAAAGCAAAATTTTAGAATCTGACATGTTTGTCATAGGTCCCAAAGCGTTTGACATAAAACCATGAATCTTGTTAATAATATACTATTTTTTTCCTGACGATAGAAATTAGCTTAGACATATTACCAGTAAAAATTCGTTTATCTATTATCAAAACTGCGTCAGTTATTAATTATTAACATATAACACGGCGGACGAAAATCGTAAATTACGCGACACCGCCATTGAATCCGCCGTAATCTGCTTATAGATTTTTATCGTATCATATATATTGCTATGTATACATCATTCTTTTTGGTATTGAAAAATGCTTCGTTTTGGTGGCAAACGCATTGATATAACTGAACAAAAAGGCTTTTAAAGATATAGGGTAGGGGTAAGGGAAAATGTATAAAAAAGTATACTTAAACGAGCCAGAAAACATTTAATTGTACACTGGTCGTATAGGGAGTTAGATTCTATACAATTTGGTATAATCTTTTGTAACAACATAAGAAAAACCTCATTGTTAAATTACAAATATCCGACAAAAATCAAATTTTAACTGTGCATGAGTATAGTTTGTATCCGGTAACAGAGGAACAAAAGTTAGAGAACATTTTACCTTAGCTTCGAAAATGAACCATTTTAGCCTTATTTATTGGCATTTTATCTTTATTGCCATCCCTGAAATAGTGATAGCATTTTACATTTGCATATGATACATATTCGTGTAGGTAAGGGAGTTACATAAACAATCCTATCATAAACAGCGGGGTATGCCTTGTGTCAGTTACCAGAGGGAAATGAGTTCGTGCCCCGTGTCTGGGCAAGATCAAAAATGGCCAATTTAGCCCCATTTTATGATAGTGATATCATACTTGATAATACATGGGGACATACCTATCTAATCATATCAATTAAGGTGCAGTAAGGGATTTTCACAAAAAAATTCCAACTTCAAAATATATATTGAAGGAGTTACTAATGATTGATGTTAAAATTATTAAAAAATCAAGCTCATTATTGTTGTTTTGAGTAACATTCATACATGCATATTTATAGTGATTTCCCCGCCATTTAATTTCTATAACACCCATACATAAGAAACAGTAATAATTTATATAGGAGTAAAGCATCCGATGTACACATTTTTTTTTCAAATAGTGAATGCGGAAAAGTGTTACTTTTGGAACAATTTAAAAAGGGAATGAAATAGAATAATCTAAAATTTTTGTGAAATTCTCTTACCGCACATTTTAAAGCGGATGTGCCTTGTTCCCAATAACAGATCGTACAAAATGAGAAATAGGCCATTTTAACCTGAATAACTTTCTAGACGCACGCATAATGGTGATAGCATATACATTGTGTACTAAATTCAACATATTTTTATAGCAATGTGATATATCTACTTAATAATATACTAAACATTTGGGCGTGTGTTATGCCCATTAAAGGAAAGATATTAAATATCTGTCCCTGTTTCGCCATTAAGCTAGAAACCGGCTATTTTATCTTTATTTTCTGCGCCATGTTAGCTAGAAACCGGCTATTTTAGCTTTATTTTCTGCGCCATGTTAGTCTTCTCACCGACTACCCGACACAGTGTATCGATAAATCCTGTTCAAACAATGATTTTACCTTTACTCCTAAAATGGTGACAGTTTACTTTATATTATGAATGTTTATGTAGTTGGGGGGCATATCAATAAAATGTCGTGTGTCCAAAAGTTCGAACCCCGTGTCTGGCCAAAGTGCAAAAATATCTGATTAAGCCCTTTCATCTATATGGGTATTTTCACCCTTACTTTGGATATAAGATACTAGTTAAACATATTCGAGTAGATAAGGGAAATAACTATACAATCATATCATTAAAAAACATGGTATTCATTGTTCCCGTAATAATTAACAAAGCGACAACAGTGTGAGTTTCTTGTCTGTCTAAAATAAGACTAGAACTGCCACTATCATGGCGTGAATACCCCCGCATACCACTTTTTCAGAATCAACAGTGGCCATTTAGAGCTCAAGGACAACCTCCCTGCCAAATCTAAGGTTACTAAGCCAGTGCATTGCTAAGTTATGTATTCTACATGCTTCAAATGTGAAAATGTCAAAATCAATACATTGCGGACAGGACATTCTTTAGCAATTGAGAAGAAAAGCTTTTTTCCTTGTCAAGGTCCCTGTGACCTTGACCTTTGACCCAGTGACCTCAAAATCAATAGGGGTCACCTTATAGTCATGATCAACATCCATGCCAAATATGAAGACTGTAGGTCTAAGGAATCTTAAGGGGTGGACAAACTTTTTGAAGTCAAAGTCCCTATGACCTTGACCTTTGATCCCGTGACCTCAAAATCAAAAGGGGTCATCTACTAATCATGGTCAACATCCATGCCAAATATGAAGACTGTGGGTCAAAGTAATCTAAAGTTATTGGGCAGACAAACTTTTTAAAGTCAAAGTCCCTGTGACCTTGACCTTTGACCTGGTGACCTGAAAATCAATAGGGGTCATCTACTAATCATGACTAACCTCCATGCCAAATATGAAGACTGTGGGTCAAAGGAATCTTGGGTTATTGGTTCTCGAATTATTTACACAATGTTTAAAATGGCTTTACAATAAAAAATACACATCAGACAACAGTTTATTTTCATATGGTATCACCAATTTTGCCTAGAAGGAATTTGTTCTGGTTTTAATATCAATCGCTATAGGTAAAACACCTGTTTCACCAGATACAATATTATTTGGTGTACCGGGTTTTACATTTAAAATATGTTTGAAAAACTTAAGTTGGACAAGTTTAATTATATCAATATTACCGTATACCCATATCACGCAGCCGTATTAAATATTGGTTTTACAGTTCTATGAAATCAATTTATTTGAATATCAATAGGTAAAAATAATTCATTGCTTTCTTAAGTAGATCAGAGCGGTAAGGGGCAAGTGCCTTGAAGTCCACGACAACCATTGTTTTACGTCTGAACCTAAACTAAAAAAACAGGTTTTTTCAGAACGAATGTAAAGACACTGAAGAAGAAATATTGTGTTAAACGTGTGTAATATATAGTAGTCTGTTCTTATATAGTTTATTTAGTGTTTATTTGTTGTTTTGTTTGTGTTTCAAAATAAAGTTTTGATTTTGGTTGTCCTTTGTCGTTAAGCTGCTAAATGATGTTGGACTTGTCGTCGTTTGTTTTGGGTTTTACGTCACATCGACACAGTATAGGTCATATCGCGACATTCCAGCTTTACTGGTGGAGGACGATCTAATGTGCCCTTCCGTGCATTATTTCAGGCACGAACGGCGCCTGAGTAGAACCACCGACGTTCCGTAAGCTAGCTGGATAGCTTCCTCACATGAAAGAATCCAAAGTCCCTGTTTGGATTCGAACCCACAGCGAATTTAGCTATTTATTTGTTTGTTCTTTGGTTTAAGCTTAAAATATGTTTCCAATTTGGTTTTTCCAGTATTTCTGATTTTGAATTGATTTCATTTATTCTGTTAACATTTAAACAACATAATCATAAAGAAGAAGATTTACAAAATACATGCCAAACTTTGCATCAAATACACTGAGGAATCAACGTTTGCTAAGCTAAGAAAACATGCTGTCAACCTTTCATAAAACAGGTTTAAATCATGTTGTTTTTTGCTGCTCAAACCTTCAGGGGTGAGAGGCGAGTGGTTTCGAAGTTCAGGACCTTAACCACTATGAAATTTTAACATTATCAGTATCCAGTTTTCACCTGTAGTTTTTTAATTTGCTCCAGCAGGGCCTCCTGCGCTTGTTGAGCGACCTCCTCTCCAAACTCCTCCCCTAGAATTCCCTCATCTTTAACTGTGGATGTGGGCTGTGGTTCCTCGTACGGTATGGATATATCCATATCTGATGTGTCACAACTGCCTACTACAGTCCTGTTACGCAGTAGGTAGCGCTGATTCTTAGGTGTTGTAATAGTCTGAAAATATAACAGATGGTGTCATTAGGGATTATGTTATTTGGTTATCTTGTATATGTTTTTTAAATGATATTATAATTAACTCTTTCACAAAAGAGACAGTCAAAGTTTGTATCAATGATATTCAACAATCTATACAAGATCAATTCACAGTTAAGAAATCAATACAATTTAAAACCCATTTCTTCATGTTCAGTGAGAATATCTCTCAGTATTTTGTGTAAAGAGGAAAAAGCCACTGTTCTTTGCATGAAAAATGGATTTAATTTTCAAAGGTCTTTAAGATATGAAATTAAGTAAACATACTTCCTTTTGGTATCCTGCATTTGTAAATATAAAGCATGCTTGCATAACACCAAGAAGACAGTTTATTGAACATATTCAAACAGTTTTCCACTGCACAAGCTATTTAATTTGATACATCATTGATATTTAGCTCTTGATATATATCAATACACAATTATCAATCAAAGACAGCTGTAGCAAAAACAAGAATATTGAGTCTAATTTGCAAGAATCTTAAATTTTGAATTAAGAAACATCTGCAGATGTGTTCATACGGCGGTTACCATGGAACCTTAAATGTGACACTTCCGTGCCGTTCCATGAAAAGCGGCGTATGGTAGAAAGCGTGTGCCCTAAACGAGAAAACAATGGGCGGAACTAAATAAAATGGAATTTTGAAATTTTTCAAGTTTGCTCATAAGAATTGTATTGGCCCCTTTTAGGCTAAAAAAAGAAATACCTTCAAATGTCTATTTCTACAGAACTAATTGATAAATGATCACAAAACTTAGTCTGTAGCATTCTTAGGTAGTCTCTTATCATATTCGGTAATATTATTTTGATGGGTCCCTTTAAGGGGTCACTAGGGCTAAATATAGAAAAACCTTTAAACATCTTCTTCTACAGAACTAATGGATGGATTATCACCAAACTTTGTCTGTTTGTTTGTTTGGATTTAACGGCACGTCAACACATAAATGGCCATATCGTGCCGAATGCTAAAATAGGCTTAAACGATTATGTAAAACGTTGTAAAAAAATAAAAAAGAGCCAATCAGATCTTTGAATACAAGTTTATCTCTTTCAAATAATCGATGATGTTTTTTGATGGAATTGTATTAAAGAGTTCTTTGAGTGAGTTTACATTATAAAATCTGTTACGGGCCTGTGAAAAATCATGACATTCCAGAACAAAATGCTTACATTTTACATTACAGCCTACACAGAAAGGGGCATTGTCATTCGTGAGGAGATAAGTATGGGTAACTTTAGTGTGTCCAATTCGGCATCGAATAAGAACTGTTTGATCATGGCGGTTTGACAAAGACAGAGATGGTGACACATCAAGAGATGGGTTTATATCATGAAGTTTATTAAAGACGGCATTGTCCCAATTTGCTTTCCATTCAGATGAAACGAGTTTATTTATAGCCGTTCTAAAATCACAAGCAGGTAACAATAAGTCAGTTTTTTGAAAATTTAAAGCTTGTTTAGCTAAAGCATCTACTTTTTGATTTCCTCGTATACCTACATGACTTGGAATCCAATATAATTTAACAGATTTTATTTTAAGTATATCATGAAATCGCAAAAGAAGTTTCTTTATCATGATATTGTCAGATTTTTTATTTTTAATGGATATTAAAACAGAAAGCGAGTCAGAAAATATCACAAATTTATCATGGGTATGCTGTTCTATGTATGACAATGCTAAATCTATAGCTTTTGCTTCAGCAGTAAAAATTGATGCATTATCTGGTAACCTCATAATAGATGTAAAATCATTTTCATACACAGCCGCACCTACTTTGCAACCTTCCTTTGAACCGTCCGTATAAACATGTATAAAATTTTCATGTTGCTTAAACATATTCTATGCTTAAATTAAATATTAGGAAATACTATGTATTGACATTCCAACACTGAAGTTGTTTCTGGTGAGCGACTCAGGACCATCATGGCCCTCTTGTTTTTCTAACAGTTTGGAAGTCCCAGGAGGATATAAAACTAAGTATTCTTAATAGCTACATTTAAAATGACAATCCAATTGTGGCTGAGAGGGCGCCTTTACTTGTTGAGGCATTCACAACTTCAGCGATATTGTAAGAGGCGACCAGGCGACTAAATGTGTTTTAATGATTTTATATATATCCTAGCTACATTAAGTAGAGAAGGTTACGTGCTCTGGTGTTGCTTTTAAGAATATATCAATTGACGTTTGCATAAATCAACAGAGCATTTTCGGCGACATATGACAGACTGTGTTAGTGTGCCGTAAAATTTAATTCTTATTTCGAAAATAGTGTCAGTCAGAAAACATGATATTAATGATTTTATCATTGTATATAAAGTATATCATTAATTCATGTTTGGTGTATTCTAACTTTTGATGAAAAGAATTTGAAAAAAGAACATGTTCACAATTTTCCATTTAATGGAATTGTAGTTCATTAAAATCCTCGTCTCGTATACAACATAGAGAAATACAAAATCCCCAAAGAAAGCCCAACACGACAAGATTGAAAATGTTGCAGGCTTAAATTGAAAATGTTGCAGGCTTAAATTAAAATAATTAAAATTTGCCTAACATTTTTTATTCGAAGAAGTGTTCTCGAATTATTTACACAATGTTTAAAATGGCTTTACAATAAAAAATACACATCAGACGACAGTTTATTTTCATATGGTATCACCAATTTTGCCTAGAAGGAATTTGTTCTGGTTTTAATATCAATCGCTATAGGTAAAACACCTGTTTCACCAGATACAATATTATTTGGTGTACCGGGTTTTACATTTAAAATATGTTTGAAAAACTTAAGTTGGACAAGTTTAATTATATCAATATTACCGTATACCCATATCACGCAGCCGTATTAAATATTGGTTTTACAGTTCTATGAAATCAATTTATTTGAATATCAATAGGTAAAAATAATTCATTGCTTTCTTAAGTAGATCAGAGCGGTAAGGGGCAAGTGCCTTGAAGTCCACGACAACCATTGTTTTACGTCTGAACCTAAACTAAAAAAACAGGTTTTTTCAGAACGAATGTAAAGACACTGAAGAAGAAATATTGTGTTAAACGTGTGTAATATATTATAATAGTAGTCTGTTCTTATATAGTTTATTTAGTGTTTATTTGTTGTTTTGTTTGTGTTTCAAAATAAAGTTTTGATTTTGGTTGTCCTTTGTCGTTAAGCTGCTAAATGATGTTGGACTTGTCGTCGTTTGTTTTGGGTTTTACGTCACATCGACACAGTATAGGTCATATCGCGACATTCCAGCATTTCTGGTGGGGGAAGACCTAATGTGCCCTTCCGTGCATTATTTCAGGCACGAACGGCGCCTGAGTAGAACCACCGACGTTCCGTAAGCTAGCTGGATAGCTTCTCACATGAAAGAATCCAAAGTCCCTGTTTGGATTCGAACCCACAGCGAATTTAGCTATTTATTTGTTTGTTCTTTGGTTTAAGCTTAAAATATGTTTCCAATTTGGTTTTTCCAGTATTTCTGATTTTGAATTGATTTCATTTATTCTGTTAACATTTAAACAACATAATCATAAAGAAGAAGATTTACAAAATACATGCCAAACTTTGCATCAAATACACTGAGGAATCAACGTTTGCTAAGCTAAGAAAACATGCTGTCAACCTTTAATAAAATAGGTTTAAATCATGTTGTTTTTTGCTGCTCAAACCTTCAGGGGTGAGAGGCGAGTGGTTTCGAAGTTCAGGACCTTAACCACTATGAAATTTTAACATTATCAGTATCCAGTTTTCACCTGTAGTTTTTTAATTTGCTCCAGCAGGGCCTCCTGCGCTTGTTGAGCGACCTCCTCTCCAAACTCCTCCCCTAGAATTCCCTCATCTTTAACTGTGGATGTGGGCTGTGGTTCCTCGTACGGTATGGATATATCCATATCTGATGTGTCACAACTGCCTACTACAGTCCTGTTACGCAGTAGGTAGCGCTGATTCTTAGGTGTTGTAATAGTCTGAAAATATAACAGATGGTGTCATTAGGGATTATGTTATTTGGTTATCTTGTATATGTTTTTTAAATGATATTATAATTAACTCTTTCACAAAAGAGACAGTCAAAGTTTGTATCAATGATATTCAACAATCTATACAAGATCAATTCACAGTTAAGAAATCAATACAATTTAAAACCCATTTCTTCATGTTCAGTGAGAATATCTCTCAGTATTTTGTGTAAAGAGGAAAAAGCCACTGTTCTTTGCATGAAAAATGGATTTAATTTTCAAAGGTCTTTAAGATATCAAATTAAGTAAACATACTTCCTTTTGGTATCCTGCATTTGTAAATATAAAGCATGCTTGCATAACACCAAGAAGACAGTTTATTGAACATATTCAAACAGTTTTCCACTGCACAAGCTATTTAATTTGATACATCATTGATATTTAGCTCTTGATATATATCAATACACAATTATCAATCAAAGACAGCTGTAGCAAAAACAAGAATATTGAGTCTAATTTGCAAGAATCTTAAATTTTGAATTAAGAAACATCTGCAGATGTGTTCATACGGCGGTTACCATGGAACCTTCAATGTGACACTTCCGTGCCGTTCCATGAAAAGCGGCGTATGGTAGAAAGCGTGTGCCCTAAACGAGAAAACAATGGGCGGAACTAAATAAAATGGAATTTTGAAATTTTTCAAGTTTGCTCATAAGAATTGTATTGGCCCCTTTTAGGCTAAAAAAAGAAATACCTTCAAATGTCTATTTCTACAGAACTAATTGATAAATGATCACAAAACTTAGTCTGTAGCATTCTTAGGTAGTCTCTTATCATATTTGGTAATATTATTTTGATGGGTCCCTTTAAGGGGTCACTAGGGCTAAATATAGAAAAACCTTTAAACATCTTCTTCTACAGAACTAATGGATGGATTATCACCAAACTTTGTCTGTTTGTTTGTTTGGATTTTACGGCACGTCAACACATAAATGGCCATATCGTGCCGAATGCTAAAATAGGCTTAAACGATTATGTAAAACGTTGTAAAAAAATAAAAAAGAGCCAATCAGATCTTTGAATACAAGTTTATCTCTTTCAAATAATCGATGATGTTTTTTGATGGAATTGTATTAAAGAGTTCTTTGAGTGAGTTTACATTATAAAATCTGTTACGGGCCTGTGAAAAATCATGACATTCCAGAAGAAAATGCTTACATTTTACATTACAGCCTACACAGAAAGGGGCATTGTCATTCGTGAGGAGATAAGTATGGGTAACTTTAGTGTGTCCAATTCGGCATCGAATAAGAACTGTTTGATCATGGCGGTTTGACAAAGACAGAGATGGTGACACATCAAGAGATGGGTTTATATCATGAAGTTTATTAAAGACGGCATTGTCCCAATTTGCTTTCCATTCAGATGAAACGAGTTTATTTATAGCCGTTCTAAAATCACAAGCAGGTAACAATAAGTCAGTTTTTTGAAAATTTAAAGCTTGTTTAGCTAAAGCATCTACTTTTTGATTTCCTCGTATACCTACATGACTTGGAATCCAATATAATTTAACAGATTTTATTTTAAGTATATCATGAAATCGCAAAAGAAGTTTCTTTATCATGATATTGTCAGATTTTTTATTTTTAATGGATATTAAAACAGAAAGCGAGTCAGAAAATATCACAAATTTATCATGGGTATGCTGTTCTATGTATGACAATGCTAAATCTATAGCTTTTGCTTCAGCAGTAAAAATTGATGCATTATCTGGTAACCTCATAATAGATGTAAAATCATTTTCATACACAGCCGCACCTACTTTGCAACCTTCCTTTGAACCGTCCGTATAAACATGTATAAAATTTTCATGTTGCTTAAACATATTCTATGCTTAAATTAAATATTAGGAAATACTATGTATTGACATTCCAACACTGAAGTTGTTTCTGGTGAGCGACTCAGGACCATCATGGCCCTCTTGTTTTTCTAACAGTTTGGAAGTCCCAGGAGGATATAAAACTAAGTATTCTTAATAGCTACATTTAAAATGACAATCCAATTGTGGCTGAGAGGGCGCCTTTACTTGTTGAGGCATTCACAACTTCAGCGATATTGTAAGAGGCGACCAGGCGACTAAATGTGTTTTAATGATTTTATATATATCCTAGCTACATTAAGTAGAGAAGGTTACGTGCTCTGGTGTTGCTTTTAAGAATATATCAATTGACGTTTGCATAAATCAACAGAGCATTTTCGGCGACATATGACAGACTGTGTTAGTGTGGCGTAAAATTTAATTCTTATTTCGAAAATAGTGTCAGTCACAAAACATGATATTAATGATTTTATTATTGTATATAAAGTATATCATTAATTCATGTTTACTGTATTCTAACTTTTGATGAAAAGAATTTGAAAAAAGAACATGTTCACAATTTTCCATTTAATGGAATTGTAGTTCATTAAAATCCTCGTCTCGTATACAACATAGAGAAATACAAAATCCCCAAAGAAAGCCCAACACGACAAGATTGAAAATGTTGCAGGCTTAAATTGAAAATGTTGCAGGCTTAAATTAAAATAATTAAAATTTGCCTAACATTTTTTATTCGAAGAAGTGTTCTCGAATTATTTACACAATGTTTAAAATGGCTTAACAATAAAAAATACACATCAGACGACAGTTTATTTTCATATGGTATCACCAATTTTGCCTAGAAGGAATTTGTTCTGGTTTTAATATCAATCGCTATAGGTAAAACACCTGTTTCACCAGATACAATATTATTTGGTGTACCGGGTTTTACATTTAAAATATGTTTGAAAAACTTAAGTTGGACAAGTTTAATTATATCAATATTACCGTATACCCATATCACGCAGCCGTATTAAATATTGGTTTTACAGTTCTATGAAATCAATTTATTTGAATATCAATAGGTAAAAATAATTCATTGCTTTCTTAAGTAGATCAGGGCGGTAAGGGGCAAGTGCCTTGAAGTCCACGACAACCATTGTTTTACGTCTGAACCTAAACTAAAAAAACAGGTTTTTTTCAGAACGAATGTAAAGACACTGAAGAAGAAATATTGTGTTAAACGTGTGTAATATATTATAATAGTAGTCTGTTCTTATATAGTTTATTTAGTGTTTATTTGTTGTTTTGTTTGTGTTTCAAAATAAAGTTTTGATTTTGGTTGTCCTTTGTCGTTAAGCTGCTAAATGATGTTGGACTTGTCGTCGTTTGTTTTGGGTTTTACGTCACATCGACACAGTATAGGTCATATCGCGACATTCTAGCTTTACTGGTGGAGGACGATCTAATGTGCCCTTCCGTGCATTATTTCAGGCACACGAACGGCGCCTGAGTAGAACCACCGACGTTCCGTAAGCTAGCTGGATAGCTTCCTCACATGAAAGAATCCAAAGTCCCTGTTTGGATTCGAACCCACAGCGAATTTAGCTATTTATTTGTTTGTTCTTAGGTTTAAGCTTAAAATATGTTTCCAATTTGCTTTTTCCAGTATTTCTGATTTTGAATTGATTTCATTTATTCTGTTAACATTTAAACAACATAATCATAAAGAACAAGATTTACAAAGTACATGCCAAACTTTGCATCAAATACACTGAGGAATCAACGTTTGCTAAGCTAAGAAAACATGCTGTCAACCTTTCATAAAACAGGTTTAAATCATGTTGTTTTTTGCTGCTTAAACCTTCAGGGGTGAGAGGCGAGTGGTTTCGAAGTTCAGGACCTTAACCACTATGAAATTTTAACATTATCAGTATCCAGTTTTCACCTGTAGTTTTTTAATTTGCTCCAGCAGGGCCTCCTGCGCTTGTTGAGCAACCTCCTCTCCAAACTCCTCCCCTAGAATTCCCTCATCTTTAACTGTGGATGTGGGCTGTGGTTCCTCGTACGGTATGGATATATCCATATCTGATGTGTCACAACTGCCTACTACAGTCCTGTTACGCAGTAGGTAGCGCTGATTCTTAGGTGTTGTAATAGTCTGAAAATATAACAGATGGTGTCATTAGGGATTATGTTATTTGGTTATCTTGTATATGTTTTTTAAATGATATTATAATTAACTCTTTCACAAAAGAGACAGTCAAAGTTTGTATCAATGATATTCAACAATCTATACAAGATCAATTCACAGTTAAGAAATCAATACAATTTAAAACCCATTTCTTCATGTTCAGTGAGAATATCTCTCAGTATTTTGTGTAAAGAGGAAAAAGCCACTGTTCTTTGCATGAAAAATGGATTTAATTTTCAAAGGTCTTTAAGATATGAAATTAAGTAAAAATACTTCCTTTTGGTATCCTGCATTTGTAAATATAAAGCATGCTTGCATAACACCAAGAAGACAGTTTATTGAACATATTCAAACAGTTTTCCACTGCACAAGCTATTTAATTTGATACATCATTGATATTTAGCTCTTGATATATATCAATACACAATTATCAATCAAAGACAGCTGTAGCAAAAACAAGAATATTGAGTCTAATTTGCAAGAATCTTAAATTTTGAATTAAGAAACATCTGCAGATGTGTTCATACGGCGGTTACCATGGAACCTTCAATGTGACACTTCCGTGCCGTTCCATGAAAAGCGGCGTATGGTAGAAAGCGTGTGCCCTAAACGAGAAAACAATGGGCGGAACTAAATAAAATGGAATTTTGAAATTTTTCAAGTTTGCTCATAAGAATTTTATTTGCCCCTTTTAGGCTAAAAAAAGAAATACCTTCAAATGTCTATTTCTACAGAACTAATTGATAAATGATCACAAAACTTAGTCTGTAGCATTCTTAGGTAGTCTCTTATCATATTTGGTAATATTATTTTGATGGGTCCCTTTAAGGGGTCACTAGGGCTAAATATAGAAAAACCTTTAAACATCTTCTTCTACAGAACTAATGGATGGATTATCACCAAACTTTGTGTTTTGTTTGTTTGGATTTACGGCACGTCAACACATAAATGGCCATATTGTGCCGAATGCTAAAATAGGCTTAAACGATTATGTAAAACGTTGTAAAAAAATAAAAAAGAGCCAATCAGATCTTTGAATACAAGTTTATCTCTTTCAAATAATCGATGATGTTTTTTGATGGAATTGTATTAAAGAGTTCTTTGAGTGAGTTTACATTATAAAATCTGTTACGGGCCTGTGAAAAATCATGACATTCCAGAACAAAATGCTTACATTTTACATTACAGCCTACACAGAAAGGGGCATTGTCATTCGTGAGGAGATAAGTATGGGTAACTTTAGTGTGTCCAATTCGGCATCGAATAAGAACTGTTTGATCATGGCGGTTTGACAAAGACAGAGATGGTGACACATCAAGAGATGGGTTTATATCATGAAGTTTATTAAAGACGGCATTGTCCCAATTTGCTTTCCATTTAGATGAAACGAGTTTATTTATAGCCGTTCTAAAATCACAAGCAGGTAACAATAAGTCAGTTTTTTGAAAATTTAAAGCTTGTTTAGCTAAAGCATCTACTTTTTGATTTCCTCGTATACCTACATGACTTGGAATCCAATATAATTTAACAGATTTTATTTTAAGTATATCATGAAATCGCAAAAGAAGTTTCTTTATCATGATATTGTCAGATTTTTTATTTTTAATGGATATTAAAACAGAAAGCGAGTCAGAAAATATCACAAATTTATCATGGGTATGCTGTTCTATGTATGACAATGCTAAATCTATAGCTTTTGCTTCAGCAGTAAAAATTGATGCATTATCTGGTAACCTCATAATAGATGTAAAATCATTTTCATACACAGCTGCACCTACTTTGCAACCTTCCTTTGAACCGTCCGTATAAACATGTATAAAATTTTCATGTTGCTTAAACATATTCTATGCTTAAATTAAATATTAGGAAATACTATGTATTGACATTCCAACACTGAAGTTGTTTCTGGTGAGCGACTCAGGACCATCATGGCCCTCTTGTTTTTCTAACAGTTTGGAAGTCCCAGGAGGATATAAAACTAAGTATTCTTAATAGCTACATTTAAAATGACAATCCAATTGTGGCTGAGAGGGCGCCTTTACTTGTTGAGGCATTCACAACTTCAGCGATATTGTAAGAGGCGACCAGGCGACTAAATGTGTTTTAAAGATTTTATATATATCCTAGCTACATTAAGTAGAGAAGGTTACGTGCTCTGGTGTTGCTTTAAAGAATATATCAATTGACGTTTGCATAAATCAACAGAGCATTTTCGGCGACATATGACAGACTGTGTTAGTGTGCCGTAAAATTTAATTCTTATTTCGAAAATAGTGTCAGTCAGAAAACATGATATTAATGACTTTATCATTGTATATAAAGTATATCATTAATTCATGTTTGGTGTATTCTAACTTTTGATGAAAAGAATTTGAAAAAAGAACATGTTCACAATTTTCCATTTAATGGAATTGTAGTTCATTAAAATCCTCGTCTCGTATACAACATAGAGAAATACAAAATCCCCAAAGAAAGCCCAACACGACAAGATTGAAAATGTTGCAGGCTTAAATTGAAAATGTTGCAAGCTTAAATTAAAATAATTAAAATTTGCCTAACATTTTTTATTCGAAGAAGTGTTCTCGAATTATTTACACAATGTTTAAAATGGCTTTACAATAAAAAATACACAACAGACGACAGTTTATTTTCATATGGTATCACCAATTTTGCCTAGAAGGAATTTGTTCTGGTTTTAATATCAATCGCTATAGGTAAAACACCTGTTTCACCAGATACAATATTATTTGGTGTACCGGGTTTTACATTTAAAGTATGTTTGAAAAACTTAAGTTGGACAAGTTTAATTATATCAATATTACCGTATACCCATATCACGCAGCCGTATTAAATATTGGTTTTACAGTTCTATGAAATCAATTTATTTGAATATCAATAGGTAAAAATAATTCATTGCTTTCTTAAGTAGATCAGAGCGGTAAGGGGCAAGTGCCTTGAAGTCCACGACAACCATTGTTTTACGTCTGAACCTAAACTAAAAAAAAACAGGTTTTTTCAGAACAAATGTAAAGACACTGAAGAAGAAATATTGTGTTAAACGTGTGTAATATATAGTAGTTTTTTCTTATATAGTTTATTTAGTGTTTATTTGTTGTTTTGTTTGTGTAACAAAATAAAGTTTTGATTTTGGTTGTCCTTTGTCGTTAAGCTGCTAAATGATGTTGGATTTGACGTCGTTTGTTTTGGGTTTTACGTCACATCGACACAGTATAGGTCATATCGCGACATTCCAGCTTTACTGGTGGAGGACGATCTCATGTGCCCTTCCGTGCATTATTTCAGGCACGAACGGGCGACTAAGTAGAACCACCGACGTTCCGTAAGCTAGCTGGATAGCTTCCTCACATGAAAGAATCCAAAGTCCCTGTTTGGATTCGAACCCACAGCGGTGAGGGGCAAGTGGTTTGAAGTCAACGACCTTAACCAGTCGGCCACGGACGCCCCGACTTGTCGTCGATATGACAATAGAATCTGTATTAAACATATATGTTTTTACAAATGTAACTTGAAATAAAATCAGACTTGACTCGGGTGTTTTACTCCCCGTATTTTGATTACACACTAAAATATTTTACTGAGTAAAATAAAACTTACTTTTACGTATTGGAATTTAAGCATTATAATAATTCAGTTTATCTATCGTGCACAACATTTCAAATATCGTTCTACATTTATAAAATTGGAACCAACAAATTTGCCATTCAAATCAGAAACATACACCGCCGGATTAGATATTTTCTTTGCCACCTATATGATGGAAAAATGTGAAACAATAATAACAAAATGCACTGGGTCTTCCGAGTTCTGTCCTTAGCAGGAAACTTTTACTATTTTTGTGTAAAAAGCACAAAGTAATCTTTGAAAATACAAAATTTAATGTTTTAGTCTATACACAATGGGTTTATATGATTTCTTTAGTGTGAACATGGTGACTCATCTTGCGTGATCATAAGTGAGGACTTAATGGGTTCAAATTATTGGAGTCCATGCATCTTCTTACTCCAGCAGGTGGTGTTGTTTTGACCTCTGTTTTTGCTATAATATTGTAACACCCGAGATTAGCCAAATCGGTTATAGGACATTTCGGACCATGGACATTTCAGACCAGATTTTTGGACACTTTGGACCATATTTAGGGACATTGCCGACCACATTTCTGGACATACAGAGTAACTTAAGTATATATTACACACCATGGAACGATTTTACATCTATCCCGATTTTGTTGTTTGCAGTATAAATGCAGGAAATTAAAAGAGAACAAACAAGCAACGTTTTCAAACAATTTATTATTAAGTATATACAAATTTCGACGAAATATATTATTTACAACATTAATATAGTTACATACATTTACGATAAAAACACAGTACATCAACATACGACCACTAAATAGCCTCTGCATGAAAACATGGAGTATATTCAAAAAGAAATGACGAAGAAGGTTATTGGCACATTATTCTAATAAAACAATTCATACATTATCTTACACATAAATACATACATGTATGAATGCATACATTTACCTTAATTGACCTTGACAAAACATATGGACAAAATATTTTAATGACACATAAGATATAAAAAATCACATTTACGAAACATTTACAATACAAAGACAATACAACAACAAATGACCATGAACAATCCCCAAACGATGACGTACAGTAGATACTTACAATCGTCATTCATGCCTTCAATAAACTACTGGCATATCTGTCATTGGCTGAATACTCTGTCTAAAGCTTCAACAATTTCCACTGCGTCTAACGAGCCTCACGTCGTTGATAACGGCACAATTTCCCCTCTCTCAAAAGTTTACATAGGGATCTCTGGCTTACCTGAACAACAGTTCCACTTACAGATAGAAGGCTAGTTGTTTTTCCTCTCTTGGTGCGTCAGTTGAGTCGTGCGTGCCAGCACTCCACGTCATATGAATTCATCAAAAAGCCTAAAAATAAAAAATCCAAATTTTCAATTCACGGCACAAATTACTGTCTGCTTGTGTCAATATATCAACTTCAAAGACCATGTCTGTGACTTAATAGTGTTTTGGACATGTCCTTAATACTGTTGGACTTTGTCTTTAAGATTTTTATCAAACATTTAGTGTCTTATCTATTTTTATTGCCTGTGGCAATGTAATATTAATCCGCTAGCAACTGCTGAGATTGATTGCCTCAGGTGAAGATTACCGGTGCACCATGCTGTGAAGGGTCGTATAAATAAACATAATTTTACTGTTGTCCAAGATTAGCATCTGTCAAAATTTGACTTGTCCGGGACTAACTTTCTGCTTATTGTCAGTTGTCCCAAGTGGTTTTAGAGTTGTCCCGGAAGTCAGACTATAGAATTTGTAGAGCCTTGAGTATATTGTTTCATGAAGTTAACCTGACAACTTACCTTTGAGCCTGATATTTTATACAGATCTTTATCTGCATGGTGGTGTACATATCTGCTTACTCGAAAAACAGGTTTGTTTTGTTTTTTTTCATTTTCAATTTTTTTTTCTTTCCCGCTCCTCACTCCATTTTTTCAATTCTTCCATGATTTAAGCACTGTAAAAATTATATATTAAAATCATACATGTTATCAAAATTACTAACAGATTCTAATTCTATGTTTTGTTTCACAGTTTGACTTTGATTCTATTTTGATTTTATTCACATTATTAAAAATTATAATGGATCTGATCATCTTTCACTTGTACTGTGTATTTATTCATAAAATCAGTAACTTTACTAAATCAATTAATTCAAAGGCAAAAACAATAAAATAAGCAATATATTTAATTACGATGGTCGGCTAACAGTTTTTTACGATGGTCGGCTATCACTTTAGAAAGTACACATGAACTAGATCTTATCAGGTCTAGGAGTCCATTAATATAAACTGTTGTGTATATAGCGGTTAAAGATTAAGATTTGCAAGTCCTTTGAAGCTTTTATTTATTAAATATTGATTAAATATTAATATAATAACAAGGGGAGTGGTGGCCTAGTGGTTAAGGTGTCTGCCTCTCAACCCAGAGATCATGGGTTCGAGCCCTACTCGGGTCACGACCATGTTTCTCCATATGACACCAGTACTGGTTGGTTCCAGGAAGCGGACTCGAAAGTGATTAATATAAGTTGCAAGAACTTGTTTCGCAATCGAGCTTAAATAAATATGTTTAAACCAATATAATAACGTATTCATAATGTACTGAGAATTGTGATATAATGAAATCGGGACCTAAAATGTTTCACTATCAACAAAAAGTGGTCTCTTTAAATTGTCTGCACTTTAGATGCGTGTCTAAAAAGGATTGTGAATTGTTTTATTACATTTGAGACACATGGAACAACTTCAAAGTAACATACCACTTGAATATCTTTGACGAGCCCATTCATCTAAGATTTCGTACAGATTGAAGGGTGAAGCGTTTACCAATGATCGACCTGTGTTCTCCAAGTTGAGGATTTCTTCCAAGTGGTCGCATTCATTCAGAAAACAGGTGTATGTTTCTGTATAGCTATTCTCTTTTCAAAAACCTAAAATTATTTAAAATAGAATTAAAATCGAAGATCACAAATCTATTTTGTACAATACATTCAAAGCTCCATTTCAACTATAAATACATCTTTATTTAAAATTGCCAAAAATCACTATTTTGCATTGTTTTTTTCCATCAAAACTGATTTCAAAGTGCTGCAACTTCTCAATGAATTGAGATAGAGTAAAAGGCTTTTCAGCGTCGGTTACTATTTACCCTAAGATTGACCTGAGGCCATTTTTAGCCTGTCACATGTCCAAAATTTTCTTGGAGATGAGGGGGACTCCGCCCCCCCCCCCTTCAAACCCCCCAAACAGAAGGGGGCACATCCACTTCAATTAACAACATTTCTCAAACGGAAAACAGTGTTTGGGGCCTAAATAGGGCATTTTTTCACTGTTTGGTGCCTCAAAAAGGGGGGGGGGGGGCAAAAAGCCGTCGAAACACACTTACATAAGGGAAAAGGTTAATATGGTCCCATGGAAAGTCACATATGACAAGTTTTACTGTATCTCATATCTTATATTGTTAATTGCTAAGTCTCATGAAGATATGTTGTTAATAACTTCTCTGAAAAATATTTGTATTGTATTATGAACAATTTATTGCAATAATAATATCAAGTAGAATAGTAAATTTACAAGCGTAACTGAATTAAAATGATTGAAACGATAAGAGCTTATTGTTTCGTAAAAAAATACGTTTTCATTTGATAAGAAAAATAAAAAAGTAAATTTGGCTAAATTGTTTTAAATTACGATATTAAGCTTCTTTATTTTGTATCGCAACTGTCAAAATGCATTCTAACATTTCAGAAAAATGTAATTATCTGAAATTAAAGCGTGTTTGTGGAACAATAATAAGTTTCTTTAATGTATTTCATGTGAGAAAACAAACAAATCTCGTGTTTTAATTTTTCTAGATAGAGATGTTTGTAAAGAAAATTAAAATGATATTATGCTTTGTGTGTTATATATTAATCAATTCTGGATCAAAACTACGTTATACAGGCATGGTAGTTAACAAGTGTACAAAGTTTGAAAGCCAGCTGTCAATATTTGTGGTGGTACGCAAATTTTAGCAAAATAGGTTACGCCGAGGCTCGGGATACTAGGATAACTCTACTTATTCTTCAAACTGAGATGCTGCGGTCGCTTAGAACCCAGCAACTGCTTTCGTGTAAATAAAGACATGTGTTGTGCTGGTAACCTGTTTCAAACAATGCCTGAATATGTCTTCTTACTGTATATTAATACAAAATAGATAAATACAGAATCCCTAAAGAAAGCCCAACACGGCAAAATTGAAAATGTTGCAGGCTCGGTTTGATTGAGCCTGTTCATGGACGGTACTGGAAAGTGCAAGTTACCGTTCACGCCCCCTAGCACCGGCTTAAGCAGAATTCATCATTTAACATAAACTGGTAAAATTTAGAATTTTGAAAGATCCGCAGATGTGGTCATATGGCGGTTATCATGGAACCTTCAATGTGACACGTTAGTGCCATTCCATGAAAAGCGGCATATGGTCCCCAAGTGAAAAAATGCGTGTGCCCTAAACGAGAAAACAATGGGCGGAACTAAATAAAATGGAATTTTGAAAGGGGATCTGAGGTTATGAAATGTTGCTGCAATGCAGCAACTGAGAAGCTCCGCGCAGAAAATGCGCTCATTAAAGATACCTTACCAAATAACTCCTACGCACAGGTCATGTCATGTTCAGATTAAGTACAATTGTAGATTTTTTTCCGAATGTTTTGTAAACCATTTTTTGCATAATTTTTCTAGTCCATATTTAAAAAGAGGCGAAAGATATTTAATATAAAAAAATGCTTTCACTGACTCCTACCTGGTAAGGAAAGTAATTCCATTGAATACAAACAAGACTTACAAGAGTTGTAAATGTTATGTGACATGACTGTACTGTGTTCTGTTTGTGTCACTACTGTAGTCAGTAACATAAAATGATAAAAATATCAAAGTATGTTTTTACATAATTATAATTAAACAAATATACAGATAATAACAAAAGGCACTAATATAATATTATAGTACATGCATTTTTTTCTAATGTCAAATTAGACAAAAATGGTTTCTTTCAATACTGAAAGTAGAACACACTCTTAAATGAAAAAAATGGATAAAATAGATAAATACAGAATCCCTAAAGAAAGCCCAACACGGCAAAATTGAAAATGTTGCAGGCTCGGTTTAAATTTCAAAAAGACCAAATTCAGGATTTTTTTGTTTGTTATACACGCGTTACATGATGATACAGTATTCATCAATATAGTAGAAGACTGTTACCTGAATTTTAGGCAGGTAGGAGGTAATTCACTAACATCATGTTCGTGCAAGTCAATATAAAAGATATTTGACATTGGTGATATATAAAAAACTATTGTTAATTGATTTATTGGGAGTTCAATATACTTTTTTGTTGAATTGCTTTAAAAGCATTCATAAAAAACATTACACTTCATGTTCAAACTGCAGATCAAAGTTTCTGTTGTCAATGATGCTGTCTATCTTTAGCCTATGCTTGATGAGGGTCCATCCGCTCGTAAGGCCTTCGCTGTCGAGTACGGACGCCCCGGACATGTCACCAGTCATACCCTTAAAGAGTTTATTTTGAAGCTCAAAGTGGTATCAATACTAATGACGCCAATGAAATGTGACATTGTTTACTAAAGTTTAATTTTTCAAAACAACCAATATATCAACATGTTATTATTAAACCATAAACTTAATAAATATAAATTAAGAATAATTTTCAAAAACAAAGTTATTTAAGTCTTTTGCCTAATCTTCATCATATAAACAAATTCAATCACTAATAGTATACTTAATAATTATGTTGTGTGTAAATGTAACTCAAAATGTAACAAAATATAATTTTACGTACTACTAAAAGTAACAAATTTATTTATATAAGTGTCAAAAATCAGAACATTTATAGCTATTTATAGCTTTCGAATTAATGTACAGCAGAACTGCTTTCCGGTTCTCATTCATTGATATGACATGCTGGGAATCACCGAAAGGGAAATAGAGTGAGATAAAGAATACCTAAAGAAAGCCCAACTAGACAAAATTGAAAATGTTGCAGGCTCGGTTGGATTGAGTCTGTTGATGGACGGTAATGGAAAGTGCAAGTTACCGTCCACGCCCCCTAGCACCGGCTTAAGCAGAATTCAACATTTAACATGAACTGGTAAATTAAGAATTTTGAAACATCCGCAGATGGGTTCATATGGCGGTTATCATGGAATCTTCAATGTGACACGTTAGTGCCATTCCATGAAAAGCGGCATATGGTACGCAAGTACAACAAGAGGGCCATGATGGCCCTATATCGCTCACCTTAAGGAATAGATCTTATAAATTATTTTTCTTTTTAAAAACAAGCAACAGGTTTATAAAAAAAATTAATGTTATTTAAAGGTTAGTGTCAAATGTAATGTATGTTACGCCGACAGCAACAGGAATGCTAACAAGTGTATAGAAATACCTCTTTTTTTTCTTTTCTTTAAAGTACAGGTTGCTAAAAATACACTCCCTGTAGCCTGTTTTCATCATGAAAATTTTAACAATGACATCATAATTAACAAGACGAAGCACAAGTTTGGATAATACTTCAATAAAAATGGGTCAAAGACAGAAATGGCCGGGTTGCATTTGTACATCAAATAACATGACTCATGAGGCTGTGATGTTACTAAAATTTCCTACCATTGACCATTAATATCGAACATTTAACTAAGTCGGTAAACAGGAAGTGGATAAGCAAAGACCTGAACTTTGCAGTCACAATACCAAATATCAAGAGGCTGTGATATGTAGTTGCCAAGAAAACTGTTACGGAAATTTCCTTCCACTGACAATTATTCCCGAAATTTCACTAGGTCAGAAAACTGCAAGTGGATGAGCCACATACCTTAAATCATATCAATGCTGTTTACCAAACATCAAGAGGCTGTAATAAGTAGTTGCTGAGAAAATTGTTATGAAAAACTCGTACCATTGACCATTATTATAAATTAAACCAATTAGAAAATTGTTACGAAAAATTCGTACCATTGACCATTATTATGAATTTAACTTAGTCAGTAAACATAAAGTGGATGAGCGACCGACCTTAAATTATCATATAATAACATATTAGAACACCCTTTCTAAAAAAAAACAACAACAAACAGCAGGGATCTCAGGAAGGTCAGAATTCCACGTGGCAGACTGTTTGACCAAAATTTTCATGAGTCAATTCAGTTTTTTCTTCTTTTATTTCTCTACATGAACCATTTTCATGTTTCAAAAATGAATTCAAAAATTACTGTTTGGGAAGTCATTTTGAGAAGATTATCAAGCTTAAATTGATTATATTGTGAGGTTAAGTTATTTTGAAATTACGAAATTTTCTTGCTTAGTTAACAGTATGATAAAGATAATTAAGTATTACTAGCACCATGGATAATTACCATAATTATTGTTCCATTTCACTTACATTTATTGAGGTCAACATGTACATGTATAATTTTATAAATCAAAACACGGGACATCGGGATAGAAGTATAAGTCTGGCAGGTCTCATGTTTTACACCGTGTATGGGTTATTTTGAAAAAAAACACCAGTTGTTGACAAGAGATGTTTTCATTATTTCAGATTTTACCAGATGGGGATAAAAAACCTCTCCTTCGAAATTTAAAGAAACATTTAGATCATCAATGAGAAAAAAAATAAAGGAAAAGCTGAAAGATTTAAATTGTATAAGTGGAATAAGAGTAGTGCAGACAAAATTTAAAAATCAAAATCATAAAAGGGCCAAAAATAATTTAATTATACAATGCCGACGATATGCACAACTCGACATACTAGAATTTATCATTCCTTAGATGGACTTGCACCAGGAGTTTTTGAGGAGGAGTCCGGTTACGTTTTGTGACGGACAGACAGACGAACAAACGAAAGAAAAGTGATTCCTGTATGTCGCCGTTACTCTGTAACAGGAACACAAAAATTGATACTTATATATCTTGAAGAAATTACAAAAAACAGATTGAAATAGAACAAAACGCTCTTATGACGGGCAAATAATGATCATTACTTTGATTCATTACTATACGGCCTCATAAAAGTTTCTCGACTGACTTGTTGTGCTGGCCCCATGTTGATTAATCAGGATCAAATGATCCTGATTTTGTTTTCATTGTTTGCTAGCATTTTGATAGAATTCATTGGTACATACACAAATTGTAAAACATTGCTGATCTGCAAAGAAACAACCATATTTTGGGATAAATCCGACAAACAACAAATGCAAAAAGGATCAAAATAAGGATCAATTTTACAACATCAATATTTGGATCAAGTGTAAAATACACGCTTCTTGTAAAATAACAATAAATTTATTTTAAATTTCATAAACATGCAAATTCTCGTAGTTAACAGTATGATAAAGATAATTAAGTATTACTAGCACCATGGATAATTACCATAATTATTGTTCCATTTCACTTACATTTATTGAGGTCAACATGTACATGTATAATTTTATAAATCAAAACACGGGACATCGGGATAGAAGTATAAGTCTGGCAGGTCTCATGTTTTACACCGTGTATGGGTTATTTTGAAAAAAACACCAGTTGTTGACAAGAGATGTTTTCATTATTTCAGATTTTACCAGATGGGGATAAAAAACCTCTCCTTCGAAATTTAAAGAAACATTTAGATCATCAATGAGAAAAAAAATAAAGGAAAAGCTGAAAGATTTAAATTGTATAAGTGGAATAAGAGTAGTGCAGACAAAATTTAAAAATCAAAATCATAAAAGGGCCAAAAATAATTTAATTATACAATGCCGACGATATGCACAACTCGACATACTAGAATTTATCATTCCTTAGATGGACTTGCACCAGGAGTTTTTTGAGGAGGAGTCCGGTTACGTTTTGTGACGGACAGACAGACGAACAAACGAAAGAAAAGTGATTCCTGTATGTCGCCGTTACTCTGTAACAGGAACACAAAAATTGATACTTATATATCTTGAAGAAATTACAAAAAACAGATTTGAAATAGAACAAAACGCTCTTATGACGGGCAAATAATGATCATTACTTTGATTCATTACTATACGGCCTCATAAAAGTTTCTCGACTGACTTGTTGTGCTGGCCCCATGTTGATTAATCAGGATCAAATGATCCTGATTTTGTTTTCATTGTTTGCTAGCATTTTGATAGAATTCATTGGTACATACACAAATTGTAAAACATTGCTGATCTGCAAAGAAACAACCATATTTTGGGATAAATCCGACAAACAACAAATGCAAAAAGGATCAAAATAAGGATCAATTTTACAACATCAATATTTGGATCAAGTGTAAAATACACGCTTCTTGTAAAATAACAATAAATTTATTTTAAATTTCATAAACATGCAAATTCGAGTCATGCTATATTATAGGATATTTAGAAAAGCATTAACTGTTATCCAACTTAATTTTGGTAGCTACAATTTTATTACATTAACAAATCTTACATATATGAGTATAATTTACAGTCAGTAATCATAATTTTAAGCTTAGAGGTCAGTAACTATAACATTTGCCAAAAGTTACATGTAGGCAGCAAGGTTCCCTTAAAATCTAAGTCTGTGGCATGGTAGAGACATAAGGTCAATCTTTTTTTCAGGAATACTCTGTATGTCAAATAAATTCCTTCTCAATTTTATATTTTTGGAGCCATAATTAGGTCAGATTTCAGGGCCAAAATACCCTTCTTTGTAGTGGCACAATAAAGGCTGCTTCCGAAACCAAACTAGCCTCTTTTTCCCCCCAGTTTGGTCTAAAAAATCCCCCAGACTTTTGAAATTATCCATAGAATAGATAAATACAGAATCCCTAAAGAAAGCCCAACACGGCAAAATTGAAAATGTTGCAGGCTCGGTTTGATTGAGCCTGTTCACGGACGGTACTGGAAAGTGCAAGTTACCGTCCACGCCCGTCCACGCCCCCTAGCACTGGCTTAAGCAGAATTCAACATTTAAACATGAAATAGTAAAATTTTGAATTTAGAAACATCCGCAGATGTGTTCATACG